TCTCTCTCTCTCTTCTCTCTCTCTCCTCTCTTCTTCTCTCTCTCTTCTCTCTCTCTCTCTCTCTCTCTCTCTCTTTCTCTCTCTCTTCTCCCTCTTCTCTCTCTCTCTCTCTCTCTATCTCTCTTCTCTCTCTTCTCTCTCTCTCTCTCTCTCTCGCTCTCTCCTCTCTCTCTCTCTCTCTCTCTCTCTCCTCTCTCTCTCTCTCTCTCTCTCTCTCTCTCTCTCGCTCTCTCTCTCTCTCTCTCTCTCTCTCTCTCTCTCTCTCTCTCTCTCTCTCTCTCTCTCTCTCTCTTCTCTCTCTCTCTCTCTCTCTCTCTCTCTCTCTCTCTCTCTCTATCTCTCTCTCTCTCTCTCTCTCTCTCTCTCTCTCTCTCTCTCTCTCTCTCTCTTCTCTCTCTCTCTCTCTCTATCTCCTCTCTCTCTCCTCTCTCTCTCTCTCTCTCTCTCTCTCTCTCTTCTCTCTCTCTCTCTCTCTCTCTCTCTCTCTCTCTCTCTCTTCTCTCTCTCTCTCTCTCTCTCTCTCTCTCTCTCTCTCTCTCTCTCTCTCTCTCTCTCTCTCTCTCTCTCTCTCTCTCTCTCTCTCTCTCTCTCTCTCTCTCTCCCCTTCCACTAACCTGGAAGCTCTATGCTCCTGATGCCGTGCTGTGCCATAAAAACTCGCTGTCGTATCGCTCCCCTCCGATGTCTCCGGCTGGAAGAACAGCGCTGCCTGCTGGTCAGCGCCAGCCGATACAGAGCGGACGAACCGAGCAGGGGGCTGTGGGATGCGGTGGGGGATGATGGCCTGTTCCACGGGCTCCTCGGGAGGGGTAGGCGCCGGCGCTGGCTCCGGGGGTGGGCGAACGGTCTCTGCCGAGGAGCTGCTCCGACCTGTGGGGGGGGGGGGAAGGTCAGATAGAAACAAAAACAGAAACAAAACAGAAACTTAGTGGAGAGGATTAACTGCATTATGTAGCGGCTGGGGTACTTTGAATAAAGTATTTCTCACTTATGAAATCCATACTGGTCTGTGGACCCCAGAATTCACTCTGCATGTACTCAGCGTAAAAACGAGCTATTTACTCGATTTAAAATCGAAGTACAACTCGTGATCGGTTGCAATTTCCACCGAGACCAGGTTCAGTGTGGACTCAGAGTGCATTCGACGTTGACTATGAACTCACCCGAGGTGAGACTGAGTATGGACTCTATATTGACTCTGAATGGACTCACCCGAGGTCAGACTCAGTGTGGACTCGGCGTTGTGTATGACGCTGGTCAGCTGGTCCATAGCCTCCTGGATGGCCGCCGCCTCGGAGCGCCGCTTCAGGGTCCCCTCACCAGGTGTCGCCTCGAACGCCCTGTTCTCGTACACCTGGTGACGTCAGCAAAAAGGAACGAGTTATAATTCTGAACAGGATGACGGTCTAGGCATCACAATGGACGACGTATGAGTGAATTATGTATGGTTCATAACACAAAACAAAACAGCAATCTTCTGAGGCAACGGTGCAGTTAATGACGAAAATCAAATGTCACGGTATCTGGGCTTGGTGTTTGAAACAGTATACACGTTACTTCAGAGAACCATGAATAAACAACATCTTATAGCCAGTTGAAATCAGAGCCCTTAGACAACTAACGACGACGACGTTAAATATAACCTGCTTTCGCTCTCCTCATTCCCCGAAAGGGTGAATTAGTACTTGGCATCACTAAACTACATATGTGCACTAAAGACGCAGTAGCCATTACCCCTTCCCTTCCCATCCTTCCGAGTGTTTCTTTTATTATTTTGATTCGATCAATATGTGGCCAATACAAACCTCCTGCGGTTTTCGGCGCGGCAGGGTCAGCGTATCCGAGCTACGGTGAGGGTCAAACAAAATCATGTCGTTCTTGACCTCGATCGTCTCCTCGCAGATCTTCTCCTTTTCAAAGTCGTCACCGGCCGATCGGGAAACCGTCTGTAGAGAAAGGGTTTAAAGGTCAATGGTGACAGGTCAGGTGTCATAGGTCAAGTGTTTGATGCCAGATATCATGCGCCAGAGGTCAGGGTCGGCGGTCACAGGTCAAGCTGAGAGTGCAGTTGTCAGGTCAGGACTAGATGGAACTACGCTCAACTAGACGTCACATGTAGGGTCAGGGGTCAGAGACTTCTAGGTCAAAGTTAAGGTCAGAACTGACAGATAAGGCTCGAATAGTAGGGGAAATTGATGGGAGATTTAGTTTGGCAACCAGAGGCCCTGACCTGAAGTCGAAGTCCCACGTGACGTTCTATCCACTATCGTCCTCTGCCATCATTAGGGCTTTCCGGCGTTCAAATTTATTGTTTTGTTTTGTTGGGTTAGGCCCTTTCGGTCCAATTAGACCATTTCAGAGCCGGAAGGATGATAGGAATTAGGGGGAGACATTGGTCTGGGCAGGCACCCTAGTGAGTCACCGGGGCTGAGCCCGTCCAGAGGACAGGCCAACCAGCCCCAAGGTACTCACTGCACCCGGCTACGGGGTGCGCTCCCTCGGGAGCAGCGGTGCCGCTCCAAGGGAGCAGCCCCCATGAGATAAAGTTACCTGTCCAACCCGGTTAAAGGGTTACGGCGTGGAGGAGAAGGATTTCAGTATCCTGAGGATAGAAGCACGGAACGGTCGGTTTAGCACTTTCCTTGATGTCCCTATTTTCTCTTCCCGACCTCCTCCCACCGTCCTCCCGCCATCCTCACCTGTTTCTCATTATCCTCCTCGCTGCTCTCCTTCTCTTTCTCCTCCACCTTCCCCTCCTTCACACTCGCCGGCGATCCTGTGACGTCACTACCCCCGCTCTGCACTGACGCAGACAGAGAGGAGAGAGAAGACACACCCGAGGCGGTAGAGCTGACCTCCACCCGCGCGCCATCTTCCGGCCGCGGCGAGAGGCTCGAGTACCGCGGCCGGCCGCCGGGCGGCGCTGCAGTCTGCGGGGAATTCTCTCGGCTGAGCCGTTTACTGAGCGAGTCGCATTCTTCCTTGGTGAGAAGCAGTTGTGATTTGTAGAAGTCGATTTGTTTTTCCAGTTCTTCCACGCGGCTGCGGTAACGCGCCTCGTTCAGACGCAGGGTTTGTATGGTATTCTCGTGCCGCTGCCGTTGGAAGGAGGGGTCAGGTCAGGTCAGGTCAGGTCAGGTGGCAAATGGCCACAGCACTTGAAAATTGAAAAGTATCTGACCGCTAACGAACACACAATAGCTGTGAGGCATCTGTAGCAGCATTGGCGTTATCTACACTGCAACGCAGACAACAGGAAAAACTAGTCTAAAGCTATCTTAGGTGTTGTTTTTATCCGCTGGGACTGAGAGCGTGAGATGATGTTTTACGCTGGAGTACGAAAACATCATCTCACATAGTCTAGTGCAAACAGCATATGCCAAAGTACGGTTTACGGATGCCTATTACCTATGGTGAGCGAGACAAGAGACTATCATATCGAGGAAATAAAGATATACCTACCGTTGTTCACATCTAATCACTCATGACAAAGCAAATGAAAAAGCTTCCATGGACTTTAAAATAAAATTAACATGCTGGACCAAAGAAGAGTACGAAAGAATTTCTGTATCACCAGCCCTGCCTGGGCTCCCAGCCCCTTCCCTCCCTAGATTCTCCCATCAAATATGACGCCGTATACCTTGATGTCGTCCTTCAGCTGATCCTTCTGCTGTCTGAGCCGTGACGACTGCTCCCGCTCAGTCTGTAGAAGCTGGTACAGCTCCTCGACGTCTGTGTACTGCCTCTGCCACCTCTCCAGCTCGGCACGGATCGCCGCGTGCTCGTTATTTGATGATGAGAGGAACTGGGGGAGATGTGGGATATAGTGTCAGAGACTGGACTGAGGTCGAGGTGTCAGAAATGGGACAGAGTGTAGATGCTTCGCCCGAATTCAAAGTTTGGCCACCGATTCTAGGTGAAATCAAACAGCTCTGCTCAGAGGAAACTGATTCGGGTTGCAGTCGAAGAAGCTATCTAAGTGACGCTTAATATTTATCTATCGTGCAGTTACCTAGATTTATCACGAATTTCAACGAAAAAGTCATTATTCCTGGAAAAATGCTTTACCGCTGTTGAGAATGAAGAAGCTAAGAAAAAAATCATCTTACGAAGCATGGCTTAACATGCTGGCACGTACCAATCAGGCCAAATAATCATTTGGATGCGATAAATGAATGCGTTATCAAAAAAGTAACATTTACGTCCGACCAAGAGCACACCAGCTACCACTGCCATTTCAGGGAAGTGACGCGCACCTTTTTGATGACGTTGACGTCGAAGCCGGCTTCCTCAATCTCGGCCTGCAGGTGAACACGCTCCTTTCTGTCGGCTGCCGTCTCTGCCAGCTTGTTCAGGAACTGCAGACAGGCCACCTGAAAACTGCAACAGCACGGGGTAGGAGAATATGTAAGAGTGCCAGCTTGTTCGGGTATTGGGGGCAGACCACCTACAAATTTAGTGGCATGAGAAAGGGAAATGCGCTACAGACTTAGCTAGCTTGTTTAGGAATTGGAAACAGGCCACCTGAAAACTGCAACAGCAGGGGAAAGGAAGCATGTTACAAACTCTGGAAACCAAAACCACACGGGGAAAGGGGATATGTTACAAAATCGAACAGTCTGTTCAAATACTTCATGAAGACAGGCCACCAGGATCTAAAAATGTAAGGGAAGTGAGAGCGGTACACGATTGCTCCAAATCGCACGACTGCAATATTGCATTCCACGATTCTGTGTTTCCACGATTTCAGCATTGAGTGTTGTTTAGTACGACGAGTTACAGCTAGGAATGGGCCACGATCAGGCAAAACAGAATGTCTAGAACTGCTACTGGCTACAGGTCGGCTGCATATAGTTACAACATTGGAATGGGAACGAAATCATAACTTGCAGCCCACTGACATTGGAATACGTGCGTTGTATGGCTGCGAACAGCAGCCTGCATTCTTACGTTCCCGACAGAGAAATGATGCCCACTGAGGTATGTGTTGTGGAAAATTTCAACATGAGGCCAATGCACTACTATCCTAGCCAATAGGGAGACCTGAAGTCAGAATCAAGGTCTCTCTCTCTCTCTCTCTCTCTCTCTCTCTCTCTCTCTCTCTCTCTCTCTCTCTCTCTCTCTCTCTCTCTCTCTCTCTCTCTCTCTCCCTTCCTCCCCTCCTCTCTCCTCACCTAGCCACACCAAACGAAGTGAGCATGCCGATGAGAAACTTGAAGCGGACCGGCTCTCCGAACCTCAGTCTGAGAGTGGAGGCTGCTTCCAGTACCTGCTCGTGGCCCCGTGGTGGCGTTTCACAGGCCACAGTCAGCAGCTGAGAAACAGAGGGCAGGGTCAGCAGGTTGAACAGAACAGAATAGAACAGAACAGGACAGGGTCGAAAGGGGGGGGGGTGTAGGGAGGGTCAATGGATAGGGTGAGGAAGTGCGGCATCAGTTGAATAGACTGGTAAAGCCGGGCTTTGTCCACCCGCTCCAGGTGAATTTCGATAAAATGGGGTAAAAGGGCTATGTGACATTAACCATAATAAGAGATTCGTAGCCACAAAGTATATAAGATCTAACCACGAAGTACAGGCTAATATCATAGGCCTAAAACAATGACACGCACGAAAGATTTTGGCAGATCAATATACATTCAGCAGGCTTCAGATAAACAAACCATTATTATTATAATTATTATTATTATTATTTCATATTCCCACTAACCACCATTCGGTGGGCATTACAGAGGGAAACACATTGACACACATAAACAATATACATACAATACAGGCAGCAAATGTATGATTAATTCAATCACGCTATAAAAATGCGAGCCGAGGAAGCACTGCGCTAAGAAGTTACAGCTCTGTCCGTTAGATGGCAGCACCATCACCGCTCACCTCCAGAGCCAATGTTCTCGACTTGCTGAAGTTGCTCATGATGCAGACTGCCACCGTGTAGAGGCCGTGCGAGTAGCCCACCAGTTTGCCGGCCGTCTCCTCACAGCGCAGACAATGTTTCAGACAGAGCAGACAGTCGTATTCGTCCGTCAGAGCACGGCGGAAGAAATTGTGGTGCTCCTTGGAGCGGAGAGTGCCGTTCATCGAGGCTGAAAAACAAAACAAAAGAAAAAGAGCGTTCAAGTATAAGCTACTGGGTAGCACTGCTAAAACCAAGAGTCAAACACTTATCGTGTTAGAAAAATGGGTAAATCGTAAAATGTGTGTTCAAACACCGGTCAAATCAATTCCAGAACCAGGCTTATGTTGCGTGTCACACGACTCAAATACCTACTCAAGAAAGCGTAATTGCATCGACGATTGTACTGTAGGTAATCGCAGTTCAAAGGTAATGCCTAATGACAACTGACAAGTGATAAACACTGATGTTCGAAACACGTACAGGCCTCTTCAAGTGCGTACCCACTTCACAGCTGATCTAACATCGTGGCAAGGCGCACCCATCCATCCGACACACACGCATTTCCGAAGCAACCAGAGGACCCACTTCCCACGCTAGCCAGAGCGTGACGTCACGGCATGTGCCCCACTGACGTCACGGTATGTCACCAGTGACGTCACGCCCCACTAAGGACCGAACTGTTGTTGATGAGCCGATCAAACGCAATGACTCGGTCCGGTGGCTAAACAACGGTATAGGTTAACCGCTGGGGCGAGACGCACCGATGTGGATAGAGCACTGGGATGACCTCTCCGGCCTCTACCTTCCATAAATCTCGTCATTTTTCACAAACGATGGTGGTGATATTTTACCTAACGAGGTTTTTGAGATCACAGCGACCATTTTTGCTTTGTGAGGCAGGTGCTAAGTGTTTCTCTAGTCTCATATCTTTCGATCAGAAGTCAGTTTCTGAACGATGACCCATATCTTGTGACCCGTAGTCCACTTTTTATCACATATCTCCCCATTTCTGTTCGGCTTCCGTGAGCCCCCGAGTTCCATTAGAAGCTGATCCATCACCATCAAATTATTCGCGACCAATCTGATGGGTTTCCAGCCTCCAATGATGGTTTGACCGCGCGCCAGTGGAATAATCTCCATTGGTTCCATTTGAGCACCAACATGTCATTAGAACCACACAAACCAAAATGTCGGCGAGGTCGGTGGTGTGGTTTTGCGTTTTAGCAGAACTAAAGACTGACTTCTCCAACCAGTTAACCCTCGCACGACCAGGCCATTTCTCCTAACACGAACGACCAGGGGGGGGGGGGTTGTTACGACCCCCCCCTGGCGTTTCGAAACGGAAGGTCGTAGAGCTTAGCGGAAAAAAACCAACGGATTGCTCTCAACGAGATCTCGCGAATGGTGGTATATTTTTTGGTCCTAGGTCAACATTTGACCTACTTTTGACCGGTCAAAGGTCAAAGTTTCGGAAAAATAGACTTTTTCAAATTTTTCGTGGCGATTGCGGCAAAACGGTGGGAGATATCGACTTGAAACCTTCACTATCGTGTTCCTTGATCAATTCTCTATCGTTTGGTATGTATTTCGTTTCCCTAGCTCTAAAAATGGCGCGTTGGGAGCGCCGGAGGTCGGCAAGGTCACAGTCGGCGGCAGAAATTCGAAAAATCAAAATTTAAATTTTTGAAATCTGATTGTATTTTTGGATTTGGGATGTCCATTTGCTCCTTATAGAAGCTAATATTGCTGCATATTCCCATTGAGGTGACAAGAATTAGCAAAATAGTGGTTCGGGCGCTTTTCAAAAATAGTACCGGACGATGTTCCTCTTGTGACGTCATAGCTCCGTGACCTGACCTGACCCGGTTAAGTTTCTTATACCATATGATAGCCAATACTTGCCCCAACATGCATGGGAAGTTTCATCACGATCCATCAACCGATGTCCGTACCACCGGCAGGAAACCTCGGGCGTTGGCACTCAGTTTGTGAAAATCCGGCCGGAGGCTGTTCCCTTTGTGACGTCATAACTCCGTGACCTGACATGACCCGGTCAAATTTTTTTTTTATGAAAAGATGCGCCAGGTTTGCCCCATAAGGTACCCAAAATTTGGCGGCGCTGCGCGCCGCCGTTTTTGCACTATTTCCGAAAAACCTCAGGGGGGGGGGGGTTGATACAACCCCCCCCCTAGGCGTTCTAGGGTTAAAACAGCCATCAATCTTGTTTCTCTGAAGAGATATCGACATGACGCACTGGCCACTGCAGCTAACTTTGCTCTCAGGGATTGCAGCGGTCCAGAGCGGAAGAAAACACAGAAAGTGATGTAAAAACTCTAAACTGCCGACAATGCAGCAGAGTTGCAGACAGGTGGGATGGGAATCCTCGCGTCAGCCTGACGACAATGGAGTCCGTGGAACAATAGGTTGGCCAAAGAACAGCGACAAAAAGCTCCGGCGGCGTAGACGGCGTGAAACACGGGCGGCTGAAACGTCGCACCAATTACGGGTCCGGAAATGTAACGTAATTAACGAGAAATAATGTCTCGGGCCTGCAGCCATGAGAGCAAAAGTGAGTGAGGGAAAATATTATTAACTTTAACCCGCGCCCTGCTGGGGGTCCTGGATTTCCACGCCCTGCTGGGGGGGGGGGGGTGTTTGAACACCCCCCCTTCTAACTCGGCTCCTGGGCCACGTAGCGATACGCGGAAGGCGGCGTTCGAAAGAGCGCCAAAAATAATGAGGAAATCACTTCGGTCAATTTTTTGGTCAGGTCAAAGGTCAGGTCACCAGAGGTCATTGAAGGCAAAATTTCGCCGATTTCCAGGTCGAATGTCGACAATTTCCAAGAAGCCAACGCATAACTCGGGAACCAATAGAGCTACAGCGCCGCGGAAAAGCGCATTCGATAGCCCTATTAACGCCCTTTCTGGATAATCTTCTCAGATTTGACCTAACGTCAACGGTTTTGCCTGCAGGGGGCAAAAACTGCAAAAATAGCCGATTTTTTCGGAAACAGTTTTTCTGCAATAACTTTTGACTCAAGCCTTGTACGAGCTTACTTTTACCGGCATCGTGTTCCTCTCGTCAAGACGCATCGAATGAACTATAACTTGACCTTGAAAGGTCAACTTGAAAATTTGACCTCAGGTCAAGGTCATGACCTGACCGGAAAGGGTCATGTTGCATATCAGTCGATCCGTATCGTTGAGCTGAACACATCTAAGGCGTTTTCATCGCTCTAGCATGCCTCTATCAAAAGTTATTTGCGAAAAACTGTTAGATACCATTCGTGACCTAAGATGTCCTCAGGGCATAAACAGGGGTCACGGACACCATTTTCATGTACAGTGTGTCTAAACCACTTGTAATTCAGTGTTTGGGAGTGTTTATAATGTCTTTCGTCCAAAAGAGGCGCATTTCAATTTTCTCCCATTGACTTATAATGGGGAGGTCGCAAAATTGGCCTGACCTTAGGTCATCGATATCAAAATTTTGAGATATACATTTTGTACATGCTATTGCCCTTAGCAATCGCTGAAAGTTTCAAAGCGATCGGTCACTCGGTGTAGCTATGACAGACATTGAAACTTTTTATGAGGTGAGGTCACTTCAAGTGACCTGGTGACCTGACCATGAATGACCTTGGTCTGAAATTTTCACAACATGTGTAGAATTGATGTATGATAAGGTGTACCAAAAACGGCGGCGCTCCGCGCCGCCGTTTTTGAGATATTCGCGAAAAACCACAAGGGGGGGTGTTCAAACACCCCCCCCCCCAGCAGGGCGCGGGTTAAATATGGATTGTGCAAATATACGACGCAGAAAGTCAAATATAGCAAAGAGATGTCGAGCTCATGACTATCTATTGGCCCATCAGATCCAGCAGCCACCCTAACTAATGCCATTACACTACTAACCACCAAACCAAAGCGACCTGACCTCTCAGTTCCCGCCCCTTCCCCCATCTCCACGGAAGACAATACGGATCCTTGGCTCCCCTCCACCTACCCTGTGTGGTCTTACGTCTCCCGTGGCGGTAACTGACAGACCCCGGCTGACAGCGACCACGGGGGTGCGATGGAGTCACGTCAGAGATAGTTGACAGACGGATGACGGATGAAGGATGACGGACGGATGACGGGCGGTCAGCGTGAGTCCTGTTGACAGGTCGTTCAAACCACTCAGAGTGACGGGTTCCATCGAGATGGGCCCATGTTTGTGGTGGGTCAGTGCGAGATGATTCGGAAGACGTGTTGTCTTGTTGGGTCCAGCTAGGGTGCCTTTTGGTGACGGGTCATTGTGACAGGTCTGTAAATGACATATATGAACCATAATACTCTACATGTCTGTCGTCTGTCTACACGTCTTCATGTCTTCGACAGGTCAGTAGCGACATTTCTTCAGTCAATAGAAATACAACGGCTTAACCGGTCGTCTCATAAAAGGATGTCGAACAGTCATGTGCATATGTGATAACTAGACTGTACTCTTTTCTTCAGCCCACATCCGGATCTGTAACACTAGCTCATACCTCCAGCCAAAATCGAGCCCGACTCCAACCACCGCATTAACTCCGTTCCGGTGTAGCGGGTGGCTCTCGTCTGGTGAAGCGGCACTAACACCCGTGAACAGCGCTTATTCGACCTCGCCCATCGAATCCGGTACAACACCGATCGACATACTGAGACGACCGCCGACGGGTCAAACTTCGACCGCCGACTGGTCAAACTTAGACCGCCGACGGGTCAAACTTAGACCGCCGATGGGTCAAACTTACACCACCGACTGGTCAAACTTAGACCGCCAACTGGTTCAACGGTGACTGACAGGTTGGTGAGAACTGCGCCGACATGTGAACACATTATTTATCGAGAGGGTTAGACGAGTGCTCTTATTTGGATGAGACGCAATCTCTCATTTGGGGTGTAAGGAGTGGTCCAGTGGTTTTAGGCTGTTCCAGAAAAAAACTCACTCAAAAGGTTCGCACAAGGACTTAGAAGTGAGTGTGTAAAGCGGCGTTGAGCTGAGAGAGTTCGTAACTAGAAAGTTGGAGCTACTGAGCTTCAGCGGAGTGTTCATCAGCAGGAAGTTGTCATTCATGACTTCTACGGCAGCCTTTCGATTCCACACGGCTGCTCGACGGCTGAATTCCGTCGCGGTGAGAGAAGCTGTGATTCCATCCTGTTGGATGATCATTCCTGCCTCCTTACCACCTCTGGCTGTGTCTTACCTGCATAATCAGTCTGTGAGAGCTGGATCATCTTGAGCAGGTCCAGCAGCGCCGTGACGCCATCGTACGGCTCCGCCACGAACTCACGAACGAAACTGGAACACGATGACGGCTCGTCACGGCAAGTCACGAAAAATCACTGCGAGTCACGGCCACGGGCGGTGACGAAAAACGTAGAAGGTCACGGTAGCCAGTGCACGAGTCCACGACTGAATACTTATTTGGAGGACAGATACAGCAGGACAAGGGCACAGATGGACTGGAACGAGTAACAACAAACGCTGACGAAAACTGTTTACCAGCAGTTGAACTCAATTTAAGATGAGGCGTCAACTATAGAAATTCAAACGGTTCAAACGATATCAAGTAAACTGTCATTCTGCATTCAGGTGCTCATGTAAAAGCGACAATTAGTTTGTCAGACAGCACGTCGATGTACTGTTGTTCGTGACATATTCATTGTCCAATGACAAAACTACCACTGACGTCACGTCAGTAAGCTCTAGCGGCCTTCATTCTTCACGTGAGCCAATTCCTCTCCTCACCACACGACACGTAAAACGAGCCACTCGACCCCAAACCAGGCCCTTCAATTCAGTCGCCGCCGCCGACCAGAGCAGCGCTTACCATCTCTCTGCGCTCCTCAGAGAAAGTATTCAGCTCCCACATAGATTTACGGCAGATTTTACGGCTGGGGACGCGGTTCAGACGCGAGTCAGCCGCTCAAGAACGGCGGAGAGCGTCACGAGAAGCCTGTCAGCACTCGACAAAAAGGTTTTAGAGATGAGCGCTAATCACGACCTCTGACCTGTCGCCGACGGGGACAGGGCGAACGGCTTTACATAGTTCACTTTGAGAGACGTGCCGCTTCAGAACAGCCCGGCCCATGGTAGGCACTGGGATGCTTATGGCAGGGCGGCTGCGGGGGCATTTAAGATTAGTCACTCACGATCGCGCAATCAATATTTCAATGTTTTTTTTTTTTTTTTTGTTCTAGGTGCAAATAGATTTCAACATAAAAGCGCAATAGTTTCCTCATTCTATGTAACAATAGTCGATTAAATTTTCACCTACAACTAAGCTGACGGGCCAGCCAGATAAGGCAGCTTTGTAGCCTCTTTTGTTGTCAGCTAAAGCTGGAAATCCCTGCCCTTAATTATCTTTTAGAGCAATACCGTTTAAGTCTCATCACATTATCGCATTAAGTATGGAATACTACTGCTATTAGTTAGCCTAATTAGACAATAAGACATCTCAAAAAGGCTCTAGCCTTTCTTGAGCGGTATGGACTCTCACACTCCGCAGCGTTTTATTTGGTGCTAAATTCTCCTCCACCCATGAGGTCCACCGTTTTTGTGAGGCACACTCGCCCGCGTTTTTGTGTTGTTTTCCAGCTTTCTGCTGCTGACGGACGGGGTAACCGACCTGAGCAGTAGGCTGTGGTGCGTCTAGTTAGGGGCGGGGCTGCTGGGCGCGGTAATTGGTCGTAAAGAGCCGACGGTGGCGGCTACTGACGAATGGAAGGGCTGATGGATAGCTGCGGCACGGAACGTCATGACAGCCAAATCACGCGGCACTGCACGCTAGCTAGTTCTTTCATCTTAGTGGGAGACAGATTACAATGCAAAAGCGACAGTCTGACTGGCAATCTATAAAAATATTGTTCAGTGCGATATCTTTGAATGAATAGCTGCAGCGAATGTGTCTTTATCCCAATGCTATTCATATTCCTTTGTTCTTCCCTCCACATTATTCATATTCCTTTGTCCCTCTCCAACGCTTCTAGGGGAAGGTGGGGTAAGACGGACCAGCTAAGGTTTGAGGCCGCATATCTTGCTACACTGCTCTCGTAATTCATATCATTTATAGTCTTCGGAATGCTCAATCCTTCCTCTGTTGATATGTGTAAAGACTAAATTTCAAATTAAAGACATCTAGGTGCTGGATGCTCTTAAAGAGGGACATGTCAAAAACTCAGACAAGAAAAAACGTGGGGTAAGACGGACCACCCAGCAGTGCCTGCTATCCGTTCATATGTGTTACACTTCTGCTCTGCACTCTTGTAAGAAAAAGTAACCAAAATGGTAAAATAACAAAATGAGCCTTTATTCTTTACTCATGTGTGATGGAAGTGCAGCTAAAAGCTGGGAACATGTGTGTTGATTGTCGTTTGGCATGAATGCATGCTAACTGAGCACTTGCATGCATGGCTCACATGCAACAAAGACTCCTTCTTGAAAAATTAGCTTACTTAAACTTGTGTCAATGTTTTGGAAAAGAACTTTCCATATGCAGGGTACAATGGACCACCACAGGGTAAGATGGACCACAGTGGTCCGTCTTGCCCCAAATCTAAATTCTGTCATTATCATGACGTATATTGTCAAATAGCCCAACATTGCAAAACCTTGCCTTTCTTAAAGTGTGACTATAACTAAGTTTATAACTTTGTTCTTCACAGTTAAGTGCAAAATAGAAACTAATCATGCAAGAAAGGCGCCGTAATTGAATCACCCGTAGACATCTTATATTAGATCGGTTTGACGAAAAACAACATTTTTCTCAATAACTCAAAAGCTATGCATCCTAGCAGCATGAGCTCAAGGTGGCCATTGTTACGAAGGAAAACAAACATAGTGAGTGCATAAAGCAGTACATACCAGCAGCGGTTCAGCCGGGAGGGCTGGTGGTCCGTCTTGCCCCGCTGGGCCGTCTTACCCCACCTTCCCCTACCACTGTTATCCCAAGCACCGTTTTGAACCACTTCAAAGTCCCCCCACCAAACCCGTCAACAATCACACACCCGTCGTCATACCAAGCCTCGCACCGCACCGTAAAACAATCTGCCGTTCCCTCCCCTCCCCAACTCCCCCCACACACACCGCCCATCACCCCACGGCACGTCCATGAATACACATTGTCCCTGATTGTCTATGCTTCACCACGATCCGGTCCGAGACCAATTCAACTGCCGGCCTAGGAGCCGTTAGAGGCGGCAGATGGCGCATAGAGTGCGCCAGGATGGTCGCACTGACGGCTGTGGCACGTATGGGATCATTGACATGTGACCAGAGGAATTTATCGGACTTGAATGGATAGCGGGATAGTGACGAATGATAGCGACAAAAAGGTGAAGTGTTTCATACTTCAAGCTGCTTGAATCAAGCACACTTCAAGCATGCTTCAAGCACGCCATGTTCGCGGCTACTGAAAAACAAGCGAACTAAATTCGGACCTAAAAGCGAACATTTATATACATAAACTCACGTTTGATTGATACTTCCCTCTAAAATGCAAGCGGTTAAACAATGAGTACTTTTTACCTTTCATCTTTCGCTTAGTACTACAACCTCTTCCCATTGACTCACCTTGGGAAGGACAGTTTCAGGTCCTGTTTCAGCTTCTTGAGCAGCTCCGAGACGTTGGAGAACTGTCTCATCGACATCTCCTGCTTGCTGTTACGCTCAGACTTGTTATCCTTCTTCTTCTTCTCCTTCTTTCCTTCTTTCTCTTTGACTTCAGATCCCTCAATGTAGAGTTTGGTGCCACCTTTCTTGCCGAATTTTCGCAGACCAACGATGTAATCCTCGGCATTGTAGAGAGGCGGGCGAAGTTCCTGGAAAGCAGCGAAAAACATGCGTCATTTCGTAGTCTTGCACATCTGACAAAGCCGTAAGGCACTGGAGTGGAACTCTATTGTGTACTGTAGATAGAGTAAACATGTTAACATGTAATGTCCTCTTTATAGAAGATATGTTTGATATGTTCAATAAATGAATAAATAAATAGGCTACGCAGGTAGGGGTAGCTATTTAGATGACACGGCTGGCGACTATCCAGAGCGTTTGTCTTTGACGTGAGCTTCCTAGTTCCCACGGCCGAGCTGAGGGCAGTGAAACTGACCACTGAACCAGGATCATCCATGTCGCGACAGGCTCCCACGCTGAGTATGAGGTGGGCACAGAACGCTCGAACCTATTTACCCACCCAGGCAAGAGTCGTGACACTGGCACTGTAGCGACCCGGGCTTGGCAAAGGACTGCCATGATGAAATGATGTGGTTTTGCAACGCTGCTCTTCATTCCTTGTGACATATTGGTTGCTTTTTATTATCGTTTTCTGTAGATTTGATGGCGTTTACTTTCGCTTCGCGCTTCCACTTCAGCACAACAAAGGCAACCCTGTTTGCATTGCTTTCTTTTCCGCTTTTTAGTTATTTCACGCTCCCATGCTGTGCTTTAAGTTTTTTTTCCATCTGTGGTATGTTCTTACCTAACGTCATAGCATGTCAAGGATAATGTAATAACAGATTGCAATGCTTCGAATGGCCAAAAATGAACTGAACACAACAGTTTTGCACGTTGGAAAACAGTTGAAAACACATCAGTTGAGCTCCGCTAGCGTGCTGTTTACGGATTCAGATCTAACAGGATGGCATTGTCTGCGATAAAATATTGCCTGCGGGGACAATGGAAGCGTGAAATCCTAATGACACATTTTTCTAATGCCATAACAGCATCCCGCGCAGTGTGTTGGGGCCGTTCACCTTGTGATTCGTCTAGCGGAAACAGGTCAGGCCACTTCATTGTGTGAGCGATGCAAGGAAGTGCCGTAAAGACGTCACTTTAGGTAACAGCTGGCGTGGCTAACGCTCCAACTTCCGGTCTATGTAAAGGACCGTTTATACCGAGAACACGAAGCTTACGGAGACGGAGACGCAGAGTGTAAAGTGTGTATAGTGGTTAGATCTGGGATACAAGTGTGGGTGATGTGTGTGTTTGGTGGGAAAGAGGAAGCATGCGAAAGGCAAATAGGAAAATGAATGCGGATTCCGTTCGACAAAGCACTTAGCGCACTTCCTTTTGTGTGAAGCAGGAACAAGCTTAAAAGCTGATAAATAAATAGATGCATCACATCACACCAGCCTCCACTTTGAGGCTAAAGATCAATCCCATAAATCCTGTCGGGCTCAGGCCATCTCCCGGCCATCAGTTCGTTCCTGACCCAGGCTGTCAGTAACCGTGTTTACATAGGGTTCCCTTAATCCTCCCCTATTTGTCTCTTAAATGTCCCTTATAAAGGAATCCTCTGTCTCCTTTACCTCGCTTCACTACAAATATGGCGCAACTAAGTCATTCTAGAAGCAGTTTGCAATCTTTGCTTACCTTTAGGGCTCTCCCAAATAGCTTCCAGACTAGACACTGAGGTAAAAGTGATAGCACACAGGGGCGGCGCCACGGGTTTTCGATAGGGGGGGACGGGGACCGAAAATCGAAAATCCCAAAAGTAGATACTGATTGTGTATGCAAAAAAAAAAAACGAGGCACGTAACGCCGCGAAACTTGGCAAGGCCCAAAACACATCGAATGGTGCATCCCGTTTCCAAACTTATCCTAGGACAATTAAGATCGATCACCTTTTCAAGCATCCTTGCCTCTAAATCAAAATTTGCAGTCTTGCCAACTCAAAGCTGGTTTCCTACAAGCTGCGAATTGCTTAGGTATGAGTAGCAGTGCCAGCTATTCTTACGTTTCGTACTTTCAAATTTTCGATCTTACGTCTGGTCAGCTTCAGGGCTTCACCATCATATAGTCATGGTGGAGGAAAAGTGGGAATGTCTTCTGCTCTGACAAGTGCGCCAAAACTGCAATATAATTTCAGAATCATGACATCACCACCTGATCCATATGTAACGGGCAGAGTGCAGCTAATGGCTAGCCGTCAGTGGTCATGTCATCGGTGGTCACTCAAAAGGCCATGCTAGGTCATGGAAGGTCACCAGCCGTTATTTGATCACACTTTCTGATGGATTTTACTTGCCAAGAGCTTCGCGGGAAAAACGAGCGCATGCACCGTTGAAAAAATTGAGTGAAAGGGTCTCAGGTCCGGCGACCTCTGCAGGTGAAATGCCCCAGGGTAGGATTCCGGTGCTTGTTGATTAACTTCGTCAAAAATGGCAGTAGAGCTGTGATGTCGGCACCATTGTGTTCGTCATGCTCGAGCTGGCACGACCTGCATCGTTCTCATATTCACCCTCCAATCGTAACTACAGCAGGCGCTGTTACGATAGCTCGGCAAAATCCAGAGACCTTCATTACCTCCCTTTGGGAGGTAATGAAGGTCTCTGGAAACTTCATCCCACATCTCTTTAGCATTAGTGGCTCTCCTTATGGAACAGGTTTCTTGACTGGTCTGTTTCACCCCAGAATTCAAAGACTATAATAGTCAAGGTAAATCCGAGCGCACCACAGTGAGCACAATTTGATAAGCTGGTGTATCTCAATTTTCATGTAGAACCTTTCACGTATCACGAACCTAAAACCCTTTCGTGCACTCATGCAAAAGCAACTGCCATGTTTCAACAGCTGGTAATGGCATTTTCACAGCCGCTGACGTAAGAAGGGGAGGGATGGGGGGCTCGATTAGACCCGCCGACCGAACTTAGTTTTGCAGAAAAAAAACGAGTGCTATCGAACCCCTTGACGAGAGGGAATCGATGCTATATCCAATTATAAGGTCTTGGGCTACTGCGTGCTTTTTTGGTCCTGCCTGTGATCTATCCGAACACTTCTCCCCACAAGTGCTGGGGTTAATGGCATAGATTTCAAATGGTTCCTGTGGTAGAACTGCCATGCTTGAATTTGACTAATTAGGAATGGAAAATTTTCATATGGTAACGGAAATCTATGGAATTTCAGTGAACTTGGTTTTATCGGCAATGGGGTCTGGCAATGGGGTGGGGAGGTTATAAGTAATAACCCTGCCTGGCGCCCCAAAAAGGGGGCACGATCCCCGAGGCCCTGCCAATCACCTTATAACTACAGGCATCACAGCTCCACACCTTTTGCAGATGGCCAGGACCCCCTGCGATGCATCCCAACAGCAATCTTTATTCAGAACCTGCCTTGATTAACCAACGATGCATTAAATGCGACGGATAGCTCTATAATGCATTATTATCAACTATTGAACGGCCCTCGCCGATAGGGGGGTACTGCACCCCCCTAACTTTCGATAGCGGGGGACCTGTCCCCCCCGTCCCCCCCGGTGGCGCCGCCCATGATAGCACATGAAAGCTCAAAGCAAGAAAAATCAGAAAACTATCTGGCATTTAACATACTTTTAACGGCTGAGCTATTATTCAAGTAGGTGTAATCACATCCACGGCAATATCAGAACACCGCACCTGTCGAATTTCTGTTGAATTTCTCCCTTGACTTTCTGCCGTTTATGCGTTAATGCCACTTAAAAATCCTCAGTCGGCGCACGTGCGCTTGTCGAGTCGGGGACCACCAGTAGGACGATTCGGAACTGCCGGCCAATCAGCATGCCGCTTTTGTGATATGGTAGTTTGAGAACCACTGGATATGGTAGCGTAGCAGCTTTTGGAAAGGCGCTACGCTACCAAATCCTCCCCTATTTGTCGCTTAAAGAGGGAATTGAAGGGCAGGATAAAAATACTTCAAAATATGAATTGTTGAATTTCAAGTATTAAATAAACCCAATTTATATTGTTTACAGCATAAACGATGCTTTGTATGCTTCTAACAACAATAGCGCCCATAGCAACGTTACACGCGATCGCTATGATGCCTAAAATTCGATCTGAAAATAGGGGAGAAATAGGGGAAGATTAAGGGAACCCTATGTAAACACGGCTACTGTGTACCTCCCACTCGCTCTCAGCACTCCTTGCCTTTCAATCGACCTCAAACTGCCCAATAGAATTGTAAACAGCGGAGCAATGGGCCATTGCCAGCTGCGCCAGGAGATTGAAGCAGATGGGAAGATGCGACCGCTCAGCGTTTGAGGTACGGGACCGTCGACTGACCGGTCATAGGGCCAGGGCGTCAGGTCACCGGGTCACTGGGGTGGGTCACAGAGTCAGCGCGCCTGCCTGGCCAGTGTGACATGGGCATTGTGACAGTGCACTTACTTGCTGCAAGTGACAAGCTAAATGGCTCCAACAACGAATTGCAAGGATGATAAAATTCTGACTAAGGTAAAGTCAAACAACTTCCCGTCAAGTTGGCACCTCAAAAAGCGTCTTCGCTGAGCTTCAGTCGGCATGCGAAGGTCAGTTTCATCCCCGCACCAGAGTTGGCAAAGCATGGTGACGATGACACCACCCGTGCCCACCTGTCATCATCTGTCATCCTGACAGTACCTGTCATCATCTGCCACCATGCCGCTACCTGACATCTGTCATCTCTAACCCACCATGACCCGCCAAACCGTTTGTGACCCGTCCACCAGGCGTGACGGCGGCCCCTCTTCAATAAACGGTCCGGTCCACACTAAACGGTCCGGTCCAAGATGTGACAAACGGTTTGGTCCCGGTCTGATCCGGTCCGGTTCGTACTAACGGGACAGTTCCGCGATCCATCGGTATCAGGGTACTTGAGACCAATCAGGATCGTAAACGGGAGATGAGCGAGCGAGATATTTCAGTTCGGAGGCTCGTAAAGATCTTTACAAAACGGTACAGTAAGGTTTATGGCAGAATCTTTATTTCTCCTCTCTTTCCAGTTCAATCCGTCCCGCATCCAGTCTCTCTGTACTTCCACCTCTGTCTTTGTTATCTATTTCTCCTTTCGCTCCCTATTCTCCTCTCTC